TCACTTGATAAAACAGGGGCAGCAAAGGTTTATTTCATTTCATGCGTAAGTTCTGTAAGAATCCTCGTTGGTTTTTTCTTTATATAAAACAACCAGCTTGTAAAGCTGCATAAGTGAAACATGTCTGTCATTAATACACCTGAGCTGTTCAGCTCTGCTATTAAATAGGCCTGTCAGTCAGTCAGAAGCTGCACCAGCAGCTCCTGTCTGTCAAAAGTATCTTATAAGAAAGAACGATTTAAACAATAGTTCAAAAATTTAAAAGTGGTACATTTTCATGTTGGAGAAACTGTTTAATTCTGATCAGATTGATGAGATTGTTCAAGTGGGACCAAAACATTACATTACTGAACACGACTTTAAAACCTTAACATCAAGTTTGCATTTAATTGGTATTTACATAGAATTTTTGTAATTATTTATAACACTACTGAAGCAACCTCTGGTAGGCATGTCAATAAATACAATAAAATAACTAATAGATTTAAAACTAATTTATCCCAGCAGCAGTTAAACTTCTAAATGAACATTTATGATTTTTATTTTTGTGTTTGTATTTGAATGTTTTTGTTTAGTTTTTATGTCTACTCGCTGTGCAACAACTTACCCACTGGAGATAAGAAATATTCTTGAATTTGAAATGTCATGTAAAATCATGCAAATTCAAAGTTTATGAAGTGGTGTTAGCTTGAAGTGTGGAGATTTTCTGTAAACTCCTCTTTTGTCTTGAGTTTGTTTGAACTAGCTGTAAGAGCTACAACAAGATATTAATTGCTCATAAACGTTCCTTGAAAATCCCACCTCACCACAGCTGAACAATCATTTCAACTTGTTATTTTGTCATTACAGATTTTCCTTTTCCTTTTTACTCCTCACGACATATCCCTCTTGATACGTAAGAGCACCTCAGTTCAACTTTTAAAATGAAAACAGGGAGCTAATAGAAGCTAAAGTCCCTGCAGTGCTGCAAAGTAATTTGTTTATGAGCTTCAGCAGCATCTCAAATGATTCCTAACTCTGCCACCATCAAGGTTGTTTGGTGAAACACTTTCACTGCTCTTGTGCGAGAGATGTGTGATATCGTGCTATATATAGTCCTGTTCCAATCCACTCCTGATTCTGAAAATGTATCATTGTTCAGGTCAGGGCCGTATAATTGACTCTGTAAAATGCCCTTAATGGTTGCTCTGCCTGCTGGCTGTTGTAAAGTGTACCATCTGTTTACAAAGTCAACCAAAACTCTGAGTCATTCATGTAGCAACGAGCAATCAGAATATATAGCAGAATAATTTTATTCCCCACCCCCGCTTATCTTTAACTGTAGGTGTACCTGATGAATTAATATGAACCTGTTCAAATGTTTAAATCTGTAACATCCAGCTTAGTTTTGTGTGTGAATGAAGAAAATAACGCTCTCAAGGGGAAAATTCGTAAACCCCCAAATCCTTTTCCATAAGCAGCAACTATTTCAAATTGTCAGGCGTATCCCGGCTTATATCGCTCAGCACCGTGTCTGCTGCAGTGAGCCGAGCACGTCCTGGCAGCGACATAAAACGCAGACAAAGAAGCTCAGGTTTATCTGCGACGTTGGTCTGATCGAACCTGATCTGAAGTCTTATTAATCACCCTGCGCAGCCCGCACGTCACATGACAGCCTGTCGCCTCCCTGGACATGTAAATCCAGGTCTCCTTTGCTTCTGCGGCCCCTCGAGTGACTAATGTGGCGGCACACAGTGAGAGCCACTTGTCTTTAAAGACCAAACCTGATCTGAGGGCTGTCTGCTGAGCACTTCATGGTGAAGGTCACCGGCAGGGGAAAAAAAGTGTGTGTGTGTGTGTGTGTGGTGTGTGTGACATGTCAGCCCAGTCACTGTGCTCTGAATGCTTAGCAGCTCCGTTGGGAATGTGTCGACGCACACGTCTCTTACAGTAACCAGTAAATGACTGAACCAGTTAACAGCAGCTGTTTCATTTTTGCTCTGGGAGCAATCAGACTGAAATGATCAGTCGAGCTGAAACGGCCAAATTGTACGTAAGTGTGCTCTGCACACATAGTGCCACATATTTAATCCTGATTATGTGCTTCTAAATGCTAGAAACTAACTTTATAAATCACTCAAAATCTATTCCACATCCTTGTTAAAGTTTTCTTTTCTATCATTGCAAATCTAATCCTTGTTCAGGACTGACTTTGCACAAAAGCATGACATTAATGGTAGCTTGAGTTACATAGTTTTCTAATATAACATATATTTTTGAAAGATTTTCTTGTTTAGTCTGTGTTTGCCGAGTCATCTTTGTATATCTGCCATTCTGACACTTTTTTTGATGAGACCAATAGGAGAGTTGGTGCATATTAAAGCAGCTGATATTTTTTATTTTAACGTACCAAATAAGACCCCAAATCATTAAAAAGTTCAAACAGAAATGTCACAGGTGTAAGGTTGGAGCTGCATGAAGAGTTGTAAAAAAATACTTTGTGAACTTAGTAAGTGGCTCATTAAAATCAGTGATTTTAACTTTAAAACATTCCGAATAGTGCAAAAATTAGCTGTTGCAAACCCTAAACTGACAAACTTTCTAATCACAAAATTATTTATTATAAATATAAAATGTTAAGCTAAAGTCTTACTGATTAAAAAAACGTTATCTTAATCATTAACTTAAGAAATGAAGGAAAAAACGATAAAAATTTATATTTAAAAAGAATTTTCCTTCTTATTAGCCTTCTCAACACTGTATTTTGAAAATGAACATTTTTTGAACATTTATATTTATGAAAATAATTTTAGATGTGAAGTAGTTTGGCTTGCAGTTTGAATGTTATACAGTATAGCATTTATCATACAGTATGTAATGTTTGTTTCCTGGAGAGAGGATCTGATGCACTGTTACATAAATAGTTTTTCACACCATCTTTTTCAACCACTAGAGTAAAATCTATTACTTTGTGCAATTAGGAGTTATACAGTATCTGTTCTCTGAAAGCTAATAATACAGCAGCAATCTCCTCTTATTTTGTTCAGTCAACATTAGTGCGTCGGCCCGGTGCTGAAGCTGAGAGTCTTATAATGAGTTTTTGCCACTTTATATTTCACCACATTCTGTGCTCGGTTCTATAGGTAATAAAAAATATCCTGATTTAAAAGCATGTTCTCCATTTCTGTGCTCTGTTATTTTTCAACTAGAGTATTTCTGCATGATGATTTTTATTCAGTTTTAACAGCTGATGCAGTGATTGCAATAAAATCTAAAATTAATAGAACCAATAAAGCAGGAAGTATGAAGAAAACTGTCTTCCTTCTGGCTAGGCTAATGGCCAACCAAATGAAGGCTTGTTTTATGTATTTAATCTTATTAATTTAATTATTTTACAGGCTTGGACGGCAGCTCTTTCTGAAAAACAGCATGCTGGTGTGAAAAAAAAACATTACAGTAGCTAATGTAGCTTGTGTAGCATTTGTTTATTTTTGTAAATGTTTTCTGACCCATTCAGCATTCATGTAATAACACTGTTATCACACGTGTTGTTGTTTTTTAAATCAATAATTAAAAACATTCCATAAAATGATCCTTGCCACCACCAGCCCCGGTGCGTTTAAAATCCAGGAAAGGTTTTTWAACATCCACAAGTTTTCCAATAAACATAACACTCAGAAAATACCAAATAAACCAGTGGAAAGATCTGGATCAACTAATCGTAAAGCACCCAACCACGTACACATCAAATTGTACAGACTGTCCGTAAATTACACATATTTGCCACCATTTAGCGAGTATATGGAGAAATCTCATGGATTTTTTCGAAACTCAGCTTCAAATTTATTTACATCCCAGAGCCTGAAGGATGTAAATAATAATAATAATAATAATAATAATAATAATAATAATAATAATAATAATTAATAAATAACCTCCCAACCTCTGTTTTACATAATATACGTGTTAGTTCTTGCTGATTATTCAGGTATAATTCAGGTTTCTATTATTAATGGAGGGGAAAACTTTCCTTGTGTCTGCTGTGTTCACCTGATTTAAAGATCACCTGTCACGGCTGCTGATTATAAAGTAGCTGTTTAGTGAACTATTAATAGAGCCGTTGTAAGTGCTGCACCGTTCAGCCAGGTTACCGTCAGCTCAGCTTCTTCCTTTCATCTGCCTCGCACACTGATTCATCACACGTCACCGTCAGCTTCGCACACTAAACACAGTGTTCAAGTTTGTGCTTCCTGTGCTCCTTTAGGAGTCTTTTTTTTTTTTTTGAAAAAGATCAGCTTTAGTGCAGGCCACATGCGGTTTATGTAAATCCTTAAATTTGTGAGTTGGAATTACTCGTTCAGGTAAAAGAGCAAAGGCAACCATTTTCTATTCAAGTAGTTAATTATGCACTGTAACCCTGCTTTTTATGGTAGACGTGCCACAGCTTAACCTTAATCTTTTGTGGCAYTGCTCTTCACTCCTGAGAAAATGTCTATTTTCAGAAGCTTAAAACCTTTGTAAGATTACTCGTGAAGAAGAATCATTAGCAGTGAAGTACAGAAGAAATAAAATGCCTCATCTGATTGCAGGAGCATGTTTGTGTTGCCCAATTTAAACCATTTTGTGTGTGCATGGATTCGGACTGAAACACTGCTGCCTATTTTCTAGTGACCTTCCTGTACTGCGGTTATTTAAATTGTTTTTCATTGTCAGGGGACGACTTAAATAAAACCAACCTAAATAGAGACCGAGCGTGTTCTGGAACCACTTTACCATTCTCCATGATGCTGTGATTACTACTGAATGCTGTTTCTGCCTCCATTTGCTGTTTCATGTCCACAATAATTCTTGTTAATGAATAGTAATAAAACATTGCTGAACACTCTTGTGGGTTTATTTTTTTTATTTTTTATTTTTTTGGATTCCCACTATGGTTTTTTTTATGCACGTGATCTGAAATCTAAAAAGGGGCACTTCTGTGATGCGGCTCGATTATCCTATTTTTTTATCCCCCCCCATAGGTTTTGCAATTCTCCAGGCCATTATGGAGTCAGCCGTAGCCAATAACTGGCAGGTGACAGCTCGCTCGGTCGGGAGCGTGGTGGACCCCGCAGAGTACAGACGCATCATCGAGGAGATGGACCGCCGGCAGGAGAAACGTTTTCTCATCGACTGCGAGGTGGAGAGGATCAACTTGATCCTGCAGCAGGTACAGAGCCAGCACGTTCTGTCTGAGGAAACAAGTAGCACACTGGAAAATGAAACTGTAAACCTTTTCAGTTTTTAACCTATAAATGCACGGTAAATGTTTCATTGTTAAACTTAGAGTAGAGTACTGGCAACATTAACTTGTTGTGTAACAGGTTTTCAATGCCATGCCATCCGAAACAGCATCAGCTTCTGGTTGGGGATCCAGAACCAGATCCAAATCCACAAACAATGCTACAAAATATTTAAAGAAAAATCAGTGCTCACTTTTTTCACTAATAAATAACTATTACATTTAGCATAATAATTTTATTATGGTCTTACATGTTTAAAACAGTGCATTATTCTCCCACTGAAAACAATTTTCAACAAACTGCTGATGATAAGAGAACAAATGAAAACAAACCTCTGTTATGCTTGCTTAAAGTGCCTGTGACATTAAATTTTTGTAATAAACATGATTGCAATTTTGAAAACATAACATTAATAGCATAATGCAAAACAAATTTCATGCCCCTGAGATGAACAGCTGTTGAGATATTGGCACATGAAGAAACAGGAAGTGATGTCAAAGGGGAATGTCTGCATGTAAACAGAGCATTGTTACAACAGCTGATAACACAGACTGTAGAAAATAATCTGATGTTTCTTTAGATTATTTTGAGTTTTATCAAACACATATGATGAAGAGTTAAAGTTTAAATGACTCTGTTTTAATAAACAAAGACCAGAGAGCTTATTTTATTAATGAGTTCCCCTTTGATGTCACTTCCTGTTTCACTTTGACTGAGCCAAATTTAAAAAAAAATAGGCCAGTTATGTGACAAAATGGGTAAAATCATGTTTATCATGCCAAGTTTCTTAGGTATAAATGTTTTCTTTCAGTTTTGTATTTGAAGGATATGCATGCCACAGGTACTTTGAATAACACTTCAATATATTATTACAAATTATATTTTGAAATATTGATTGAAAAGCAGATTCAGTTTTATGAAAGTGATTTAAAACATTTATCAAATTTCTTTATTTTTTTTGTGTGTGCATTTTTTCTTCTTCTCTCCAGCTTTATGAGGCCCCCCATTGCCCCTTGGCAGCCCCCTAGTGGGCTGTGGCCCCACCTTGAAAAACACTGTGTTAGAATATAGTAAGTTACTGTAAATAAATACAGTAGTTACTCTTCTATATTTTATGGTAAAAGTTCTGTGAAACTAAAAACAGTAGTTGCCGTCACTTATTTTATGGTGAAAGTACTGTAAAGCGAAATGCATTAGTTACCGTATTTTATTTAATAGTAAAACTAGCTTTAGTAATACTGTAATAAAGTAAATAACAGTAACTTGTAACATCCTGTAAAATGAAATGACATATTGTACTGTTATTATTAATAAATAAATGAGTTATTTACAACACTACAAAATCTTTGTTTAAAAAATTGGCATGTAAGGTGGTGGGCAATGAGCATTTGTTTAAGGAATGATAGTTTCAGTCCTACATTTGCTCACTCCGTGAAATAGGCCACTTTCCTGGCAAACTCTCCTTCCCACTTTTCCCTCATTTTTTATTTCCCTGAGCTCCCAGAGAGCATCATGATTGCCTCACATCTCAACACGCTCATTTAGAAATGATGTTTAAACAGGCGAGCCAGGTACATTCAATTAAAGCTTGTTATCATAGTGTGTGTGTGTGTGTGTGTGTGTGTGTGTGTGTGTGTGTGTGTGTGTGTGTGTGTGTGTGTGTGTGT